GAAGGCATATCAGAGCTTGCCCTCTAGAGTGTTTAAAGCCTGCATATATAGTTTGAGAGTTATGAAAACACTCCAATGATAACAAGGTATTTAATTTAAAATCAGTGTGTGGTTAGATATTGCACACAACACTGGAAAGGAAATGAAAGTGATGGTCCAATGACTTGAATTCATTAGGTTCTGCCTGAGAAAGGATTTACATATGCATCTCACGGGAAAGGATAAGAAGGGGAATCAACTCCCCACTTCCCCATCTCTTCTAAATGTCCACCAAATACCATTGTTTAATGTTTAATGAATTCTTACAGGTAGATGGCAAAAGCCATAATATAATTAGCAAGGTCAACACAGAAGAAAACTCAAGAAGCCCAGTGGAGTATGGCATATTATTTAGGAGAAATGAACAGGCTGAAATCTATTAAACATTAAGGATGTTTGCCGAGTATTTCCCTTGAGATATTAGAGACTTTAGGGTTTGTCCTTGGCAGGTTTCTGTTTTACTTCCAGATTCTTAAAAGAAGGAGAAAAAAAAGTGAATTTGTCTGGCACAAAAATGAAAAGGAGGGAATGATGGCTGTATAGTATAAATAGTCTATAAATGCTGCACAGGAATTTTTACCTTAAAAATGAAAAGAATCATCATACCATAGTCTTGCAGTCAATTGAACTTGGGAGAAGAGAACTGGGGGAGTATGGCAGATTGCTTACAGAATTCCAACATCCTTAACAAGGCCACAGCCCTGCTCCCTCCTGGGTGCAGAGCATAGAGATGCCAAGAAGAAATTTCTAGGGCTGAAAAAATGGCTCATAGTAGAGACCCTATTCAGAGGAAAAGGGAAAGAGTATATGGAAGAGAGTGAAACAAAAAGAAACATGTAAGGAGTAGGAGTGGAGAAAGTGACTAATGTACAGTAATGCAGAAACTAATTACATATGCTTGGCCTAATGGGGGCTAAACAAATATAACTTGGAAATGATGTCGAATATTACCAAAAATTTAGCTAAACTACTTGAAATGCAATTAGCAGTCATTTTACTCTCTGTGACCAGGTTTCTTTCATTATCCAAAACTGATTTTTCTTCGAATAAGGTTAATATTTGTAGAAGCATTAGTACATTAAAACATAGCACTTGGGACTTCTATGCATAATTAATGCCTCTCATCCTTCTCTCAACTTCTAACTTGCCTTCATATAACCTAATGTAAAGAAAGAGCCAGAAAGTTCAAAACCAATCATTTCTGTACTTGCAACAAAGAAACAAATGTAGGTTTTAACAATAATGGAATGTTTAATGATTTATAATTAGTAATTATTCTCTCATCATCTTCTGAATGCATCTAGAATTGTTTTTTTTTCCTTAAAAGAAGTCTATATGTGTTAGAAATAATCCATATGTTTATTGTGATGGTAATTGTGCATCTCTGTGAAACTTATTGAAACATACATTTAAAAGTAGATTTTATAACATATGCACATTATACCTCAAAAAATGACTTATTAAAAGTCCAGAATATTTAAAAATATATAGTAAAACAAAAGTGTTAATGTGTCAGTAAAAGAGAACATAACTAAAAGTATATTTTATAATGTATGCACCTTACACCTCAAGAAATGACTTATTTAAAAGTCCAGAACTTAAAAAAATATATATAGTAAAACAACAGCATTAATGTGTCAGTGAAAGAGAACATAACTTTGGAGCTGATACTTATCCATACACTGTCACACCCTCCTGAAGGATTGTTTTCAGCTGGCCTCCACTCTTGGTGGTGGGTTGGTATAGTGGAGCTGTATTGATTGTTAATTATTTTGACTATGATCTCTGAATTAATCATAAGAATCCAAAATTAATCTGACTATATAAAAGAGGTAAACAAGATAATAATATATTCATTTAATAATTAATCACCAATGAAACAAAAATGAGATAGACATCAAGGGCAAAATGAGTTTGAGATTTACATTATAAGATCTTTTCAGTGCTGTTTATTGAAATTACATAATCTGTGTTTCATTCTTTTTAAGCCCATTATGAGCACAAAGAAGGAATATAGACCTTACTTTTAGATAGAACAGAATGTATATTCTGATTTTGACAAACAATTTTAAATCTAGTTCCTCAAAATTAATATTATTATTTTATTGTTAGTATCATAAACTTTTTATAAAGGTTGAATGAAATAAACCAACGTCTAGCTTATAGACACTAAAGCAAATGTTCCTGCTATTATCCTCTTTTCAGCACACTTTAAGTACATTTGGGAGAATGAAGGTCTTTAGAGGCTCATACCTATCTACACTGACAACAGAATGCTTTCCAACTTTTTGTATATGTGGACCATCATCCAAAGAAACATAGCACAAAAGGCAGTCAAATAAATTACCCCCTCCACCTCAAAACAAGGCTGCGCACTAGTTTATATTACTTTCTCTTTGGTAAATTGAACTCAGAGTCAGAAATTAAGTCAGACCTGTCAGAAATAATACGTTGTTTATTTTTACTTTTAATGTGTCATTTGAAGAATAGAAACAGGCATTTTAAATATTATCAAAGTGGCACCACATACTTGCTAACATTACTGATTTGCGAACCAAGAATTCCTGAAAGAAAATCAATTTCAAACATGGAGCAATACTGTGTTTTGCTATAAAACCATAAATGTTTGGCTGAACATTTTTACAGATTATCTTCTATATCATTAATTTATATCATACTGTATACAGCAATTTGACACCTTCATTTAGCACCAATCACCCATAGCAAGAGTTCATTTAAGTGGTAGTCCAAAAGCAATGGCAATTAGATTTTAATGTGTTTGAATATAATACTTACAATGCTTATTTCCTGGAAACATGATAGGGGGGTCTAAGCCATACATACTCTATTACAGATTTTGACATTAAGTTACCTCCTACAACACTATGTCTACTACCACCTCTCAAATAATTCTGTTATCACCGCATTCTACAATTGCCATCTTCATCCCCAGCAAGCTCAGATTCACTGCCACTCTTAACACTATCCACATTACCACCCCATCTTCACTGCCTAGCTTCATCACTACTTTTTCTCTTCTTCCTTGAGGATTCATTTGCCTCTAACATGCTTTAAAAGATATAAATAACAACAATAGTATCCCTGTATTACTTCTTCATGAATACCTCCCACAATTTTCCAAGCCCCAAACGGAGTTTATTCTGTATCCTCTCAGGATACTTAGCATATCTGTTCTGAAGAAGGGATTTGACAAGGGAGTTATTTATAGGATACATTACTTAAAATTTAAAAGAGATCTAGGTTTTTGTTCATTTCGAGTTTCAGTTTTTTGCATGCCTTAGCATTAGATTGGTAGTGGAAACAAAAATATTTTTAGAACAATCAGGTTTTCCATGATTAGAAATCCAGGTGTTTAAAAAAATTTGTTTATTATTTTTCTAGCCAGGCAGTGCAATAGAAAGAAAGTTCAACCTACTACTAATGATCACAGAGCAATTACCCATGGCTGAAGTTTTCATCAAGTATATAAAGCTTCTCCCCATGTGTACGATGAAAACATGAAACTATAATAGACTTTCAGAGTTCTTCATTCTCTATTATTATATAGTCCTCTTTTATAATCAAAAGGAACTCTATGTTTTCAGTGACTTTGAATCTAAATATAGTTTTCACTAACTGAAAGACTTTCCTATTTTCAAACTTAGAAGATTTGCTCAACCAAGAATGTATTAAGTTCAGGAATTCTGTATCAGGATTTTAGCATGAGGTAGTGACTACTGCCAAAATACAGTAATTTTGTGAGAGTTTGGAGTGTCTTCATGTATTCTTGCTTCTAGCTTCTAGCTAAGGAAGATAGTATTCACAAAGTTAAAAACATAATTAAAGTAAGCTTTCTAAACACTGGTGGTAAAGCTGTATATTAGTCAATTTCTGCACTGATGAAAAGAAATACCTGAGACTGATTAATTTATAAAAGAAAGGGGTTTAATCGACTCATAGTTCTGCATGGCTTGATACGCTTCAGGAAACTTAAAATCATGGCAGAAGGGAAAGTAGTCACCTTCTTCACAAAGCAGCAGGATAGAATGTGAGCATGTGAAGGAGGAACATTCAAACACATTATTATTATTATTATTATTTGAGATGGACTCATGCTCTGTTGGCTAGGCTGCAGTGCAATGGTTCAATCTTGGCTTGCTGCAACCTCCACCTCCCAGGTTGAAGCAATTCTCCTGACTCAACCTCCCAAGTAGCTGAGATTACAGGTGCAGGCCACCATGCCTGGCTAATTTTGTACTATTAGTAGAGATGGGGTTTCATCATGTTGGCTAGGCTGTTCTTGAACTCCTGACCTCAGGTTATCCACTGCTTCAGCCTCCAAAAGTGTCAGGCTTACAGGCATGAGCCACTGCACCTGGCCTTAAATACTATAAAACCATCAGATCTTCTGAAAACACTCACAATCATGAGAACAGCATGGGGGAAAATGCTTCCATGATCCAATCATCTTCAACTGGGTCCCTCTCTCAACACTTGGGGATTATGGGATTCACAATTCAAAATGAGATTTGGCTGGGGACACAACCAAACCAATTAAACTGGATTGGAGAATGTAGCCTGGACCAAAAGCCTAGTGGTTGGCTTCTTCTTTGCTAAATTGAAGACAAAGAGATTCAGAACAAATGCCTATTCTAACTCACCTATTTTGTCAATTCCAAGAAGAAAAGAGCAGGGACAATCCTATCCTCATTCCAATTTTACTATTTTCAAGACACTTAGTTTAGGTGAACCTGATGCATGGACCTTGAAAACCAGTGCTTTTCTTACTTATCTTTGAGGAAAAATGATACCATTTAGAATTAAGAATATGGCCCAATTAGGTCAGTTTCCCTAGAAGAGAAGATAAGTAAGTAAGCTATGAGTTTGTGTGGCTATTAAACCATGAGCTGATAAAAAACATATAGCCTTAAAAAACAAAGAAAAGTACCCAGTACAAATACCTGTAGGGAGGGAAGCAGATGTCTCTTTTTTGTGTGGTCTCCTCTCTGCAAGTATGAAGGAATGAAGGTATACCCCATAGGAATTAAGGATATACATCTTTTGTTAACTCTTCAAATTCTCCTGTGAGAAGACGTTAAAAACCGAGAAAATATTTAATATCTGAGAGTGAGACATCCTCCAAGGAAACCTTATTTTAATCATTATTTTTCATCTTACCATAATCGGATTACCTAGGACTTAATATGATCTTGGAGATAAATCATCTCTCTCTTCACTCCAGTGCACCAAATCCAACAGATGTAAATATTCTAAATGAAGATGAAAGATAATATTGCATGTCTTATAGATAGAATCTTGTGTACTAGAACTTATACTGTGTGGTCACAAAGCAGTCAGAAATGAGAAAAATGAATGAATACATGATAATGTCTAAGAGATTATGCTGAAGGAATCAACAAACTAAAAAACAAAGGATTTCATTAAGTCTAAAGTCTAAGTACCCTGACAAAACAGGGAAGTAAAATTAAAAGTTTATAAGCTGAATAGATTTAGTAAGACAAGGGGAATAAATAGTGAATAAAACATTCATGCTCATTGCCCCCCACCAACAGTCCTCTAAATGACAATAAAATAGCAAAGTATAAAATCCACAAGGATGACAGCAATAGATAGAAGAACACAGCCAATGTAAAATGTACATTGTTAAAGTAATACGAGGTGTTAACACTAGGTAAGTCCTAATAGAAGCTATTTTTTTTTTATACAAAGACCTAATGAATATTACTGCCTGGCTGGCAATTCTCCAAGAAATGATTCAGAGATACAAACTCCTTTTATCTGTGGCTCATTTTATCTGTGGTCATCTCAGACTACCATAAAACCATACCACAAACTACATGGTTTCAACAACAGAAATTTATTTTCTCACAGTTATGGAGGCAGGACATGGTTCTGTTAAATAATCCTTGCTTGCAAACAACTACCTTCTTGCTGTGTCCTCACATAGTGGAGACAAAGCTCTTTAGTATTTTTTTAATAAGAAGTGTAATATTATCAGATTAGAAAACCACCCTTATGAACTCATTTAACCTTAATTGCATTCTACAGTCCCTATATCCAAAACAGCCATACTAGGTTTTAGAGCATGATATAATTTGGCTTTGTGTCCCCACCCAAATTTTACCTTGAATTGTGATAAACCCACATGTCAAGGGCGGGACCAAGTGGAGATAATGGAATCATTGGGGCAGTTTCCCTTATGCTGTTATTGTGATGGTGAGTGATTTCTTAAGAGCTCTGATAGTTTTATAAGGGGCTTCCCTTTTGCTCAGCACTCATTTCTCCTGCCACCCTGTGCAGAGGTGCTTTCTGCCATGATTGTAAGTTTCCTGAGGTCAACCCAGCCATGCAAAACTCTGAGTCAATTAAATTCCTTTTATTTATAAATTACCCAGTCTCTGGTATTTCTTCACAGCAGATGGACTAATACAGAGCATCAACATATATCAATGGAGGGGGCATGATTCACAGCTGCACAATTCACCCATAGCATAAATCTGTCTTACATATGGCTTCCAAAATTATTTCAGAAGGAAAAGTGAAAGAGAATACAATTACGTGTCAAAGGCCACACTGAACAAGACCTGTGCACAGCATACATTACCTCCCTTGTGTTTCATTACCACAACTCATTTGCATGGCTGTAAGACAGGCTCAGAAATATAAATCAGCTCTGTGTCCAGAAATGAAGAAAGCAAACTTTCTTAGCGATAACTTGTCTTTGTTACAAGATGTCAAGAGCAGATAGATAAGTAGTAACTGCCTCAGAAACAGAAGGAAGCAGATATACAACCCTGGCAGGAAGGTAGGGAGAAAACAACAAAGTACAAAACTAAACTTAATTAAATTCAGAAAGCCTCAGAGATTGGGGCCACTAGGAATCTGAAATGTAAAGGTAAGACAGGGCTGAAAAGAGGGCCATAGAAAACTTAGATATATAAGAATTAAACTTCCAGATATTTTACTCCATTCCAGCTATCCAAGTGACTACTTATTCTCAATTCCAAAATATAATGGATTTTACTTAGCAGAGATGTTTAGACAGCTGAGAATAGAAAAGAGAAACCATGCTGATAACAAGGAAATGTTTGAAAGTCAACATGCATAGTGCTGAGAGCTACTATAGCCTCTTTCTCTTCAGTAAGCTAGCATCCAGATTTACACTATGTCTACCTCCAGAGGTGAAGATTACTTGCAGGATAAGGCCCAAAATAAAATGCTTATAGATACTCAATTGTGGAAAGTCCTTCCAATAAAAAAATACCAATTATTATCTAATCACTCACTAGTTGACTTAGGTACATGGTATCTGCCCTCATTAGTGTGTCCTCCTACCAGATTTCATTTCTGCTTTTATATGTTTTACTCTGAACCATGCATCATCAACCAATGATCAACATATAATGGGGGAAATTCTCAAGTGTAAAACAAATGACCTTGGGAGAAAGAGAGACAATACAGAGACCAGAATAAAATATTTTTTAAAACAGTCTATAATATCCTCAGAGAGATAAAATATTAGATATATCAAAAAGAACAGAATATAAAAAACTTATAGCAGAAATAATATAATGATAAACAGGAAGAAAAGGCAGGTGCAAAAGAAGTTGATTAATGATGAATGTTGTGTCACTTCCTCACCCTGTTTTTCACATCAAGCTTACACAACCAGCTCAGGAGCTTCTGCAGAGGGTCCTGACCCAATTACTGGAACACGAATTAGAAAGTTAGACCATGTACCAAAGTGAAAACATTTATATGAAGTTTTCATTGTTGTTTTGCACTCTGCCCATTCATATTAAGTGTGTTTCTATCTCCTTCCATATATTTTATGTTCAGTGCCTTTCATATATTTTATCTTCAGTGTGTCCCTAAGTTAAAACATGTAGCCCAAAGACAACAGACATTTCAGTGGGAAGAAAGAAGTGTGCGTGTGTGTGTGTGTGTGTGTGTTGCCCTACCATCTAGTAAGTGGGCAAAGGCAACAGACTTTTCAGTGGGAAGAAAGGTGTGTGTGTGTGTGTGCGCGTGCGCGCGCACACGTGTGTGTGTGTGTTTTGCCCTACCACTTACTAAGTGGGCAATGTTGGTCAATAACGTAAATTTATTGAACTTCAAATTGTTCATCTGAAAAGCAGAATTAATAATGCAGATTTCATATATTATTAAGAAAATTATGTGAGCTAAAGTAAGGAGCCCTGTCTAGTACAATGCTGAAATGGTTTGCCTTTGTGTCTCAACCCAAATCATCTCTAATTGTAATCTCCATGTGTCAAGGGAGGCACCTAATGGGAGATGATTGAATTATAAGGGCAGTTTTCTCCATGCTGTTCATTCTTGTAACATTGAGTTCTTATCAGATTTGATGATTTTATAACTTGTGATTTTTTCTTGGCTCCTCTCTCTCTCCTGCCACCTTGTGAAAAGGGTGCCTGCTTCCCTTTCCACCTTAAGTGTAAGTTTCCTGATGCCTCCCCAGCCATGTGGGAACTGTGAGTCAACTGAACCACCTTTGTTAATAAATTGCCCAGCCTCCAGTAGTATCTTTATAGCAGTGTGAAAATGGACTAATGCAAATGCCTAACATAAAGATGCTGGACAATATGCAAGTTGTCTTTTCTTTCTTCCTAAGCGTATGTGAAATTCTGTGTCATATTCCATTGAAAGGGAGACTCAGCGTCAACTATATTACAATAGAGGGTGTTGTTTGACCTGTTGAAGAAAACATTTGTCATTCAACCAGTTCCTTATCATTAAAAAAATAAACAACTGATTTTTGACAGATTTCTTAAAAAAAAAAAAAAGAACAACAACAAAAACAGGAGTTGGCATTGTGTACCTGTAATCTAAATTAATCTGTTACTAAATGAAATCTGTCCCTCTGCCTTTATAAATTTTTTATGGTCAAATAGTTAATAATGACATAAACACTACAATGATTTAAAGAAGGTAAGTTATTATTAGATTTTCAAGGCCAAGTCCATAGTTGTCTTAATGGAAGTGTTAGCTTCCTGTGAAGAGAATCTTTCCCTCACATATACTGAGGACAGAATGAATTATACTCTTATTTGTGAATCAAATCAGTGAGCATTATCTTTATGAATACTACTTTTAATAAATAAAGCTTTTCTTGGCAATTTAAGTAACAGAGGTATAGTCAGAGAACTAAACCCTATTCCTGTTTTCATCTTGAATGAATAGTCTTATTATTCATAGCATTTTACCCTATACACTCTGTGCCATAGAACAAATTGCTAGAATTTTGAAGAAAGCCAAAATGCATTTTTCTTTTCACTTTTTAATGCTTGTTTGAGAAACTCATTAAAGAAGACTGAAAGTTTATCAGTCCAATCACACATGTCACATGGGAAAAATGGGTCTAGTTACTCCAGAGACCATCATTTCTTCCACACTCAATAACCACCTAACATTTAAATCATAAAGAGAAATTCCTTCTCTGCAGTGGTTAAATACATAGGCAGATATAACATGTGTGAAGCAGAGGCTGAAATTTTAGTCCAAACAGACATTCCAGAAAGAATGGTGAGGGAAGTGTTGTCTATATTCTCCTCCCAATTGCCAAGTGCTGCTCTGGCAGCAACCTGAGAGTGGGAGAGAATATTGGAACTTGGTTTAAATAAAATCACAACCCCTAATTGTACAGAAAGAATATGGCCAACAAGCTGAAATAACATATTTTAATTAGATTCTTTGCAGCTATATGTCTTTGATGAGATCTGTGTTCAATAAATCACAACAGCCCTGTGTTTTGTTGTTGTTTTTCCATCAACTGGTGTGTGGGCTAAGCTTATATAACATATTTGATTGATAGGAGCACAGATTGGGAATGGGAGAGGGAAATCAACCAAAGGTTCTTTACAATTTCTACCAGTGATTTTAAAAATTGATATATTCCTTCTGAGGCTTTCTCTATTGAGCTATAGTAAAACTACATTGTACCTACTTTCCAGTAAAAGTCTCTGAATCATATTTTCTTATCTCCTGGGTCAGGAGCCCCAGGTCCCAGGCCACAGGTTGGTACCAGAATGCAGAGCAGGAGGGAGTAGTGGTCCAGTGAGCAAAGCTTCGTCTATATTTATAGCCACTCGCCACTGCTGGCATTACAGCCTGAGATCATCCTACTTTCAGATCAACAGAGGCATTAGAGTCTCATAGCAGTGTGAACCCTATTGTGAACTGTGCATGTGAGGGATCTAGGTTGCATGCTCTGTACGAGAATCTAATGCCTGATGATCTGTCACTGTCACCCATTACCCCTAGATGGGAATGTCTAGTTGCAAGAAATTAAGCTCAGGGCTCCCATAGATTCTACATTATGATGAGTTGTATCATTATTTCATTATATATTATAATATAATAATAATAGAAGTAAAGTACACAATAAATCTAATGCCTGTAATGTGCTTTAATCATTCCAAAACCATCCACTGCCCCACCCCATCTCGTGGGAAAAAAAAATTGTCTTTCATGAAATCAGAACTGGGTGCCAAAAGGTTGGGACAACTGTTGTAGGGTCTTTGTTGAGAGGGTAATATTAAAATTATTTAGATTTCTGAAACTAGAATAGAATATCAACAAGATATCATTTCAGTATGATCATATTCTTCTTAAATAATATATTAGTAATTTATTCATTCTCTTAGTTGATTTGTATGTTGGTCACCTACTATACATGAGACACTAGGCTAGGGCCTGGTATTAAGAATCAAGTTGATTGCATCTTGCCTTTATGGATCTTATGGTTCAATTGGAGAGAGAAAATTAAACAATCAATCCAAGTTTAATGCATGCTGTGATGTGAAAATTTAGGATATCACAGAAGTACCTTTTTGGGAAAGAGGGATCAACAATGCACTGAGGTCAAAAGACACAAGAAATTATTTTTAATTGAATAGGTTTAGCCACAAGTATTTCTTGATCACTTTCATCAAGAACTTCAATGGAATATAGATTTTAAAACATGATTAGAACAATTTGAAAACTACTTTAAAAGTGAGGAAATGGACATATAAATAAGAACAGATATGCTAAGAGGTTTAGGTCTAAATAAAGGAAAGAGAAATGGGGTGCAGACAAAAGTGGGATGTGGAGAATTTTTTGAGTTTGTGCTTTTTTATGAATTATTTTGAGAAAGAACAGGAACATGATTAAAAGTTCTTAAGTATTATTTAAGTTAATATTACACAAGTAATTAATGTTAATGGTAAAAATACAAATCTGAAAAAGTAATTATTTGTAAAATTTACCTATAATCCTGCTACCTTGATATAAACACAAGATGATATTGTGGTGTCTAATATCATCTGTATGTATATATATGTATACATACACACATATACACACATGAATATGTGTGTTTCATTTTTATTAATAAACCTTCATTTTGTACATATTGTTTTATAAGTTTTTTTAGTAAAAATGTATATTGAAAACATTTTCAGGTCAATAAAAATGTACCTAATTATTCTTCATGGCATCACTTTATATCACATAGTGTCATTTTATTTTATCATTCTTCCACTACTGAAGAATTGGGAAATTTTCTCTTTTTTGAGGTAGGTTCTTGTTGTTTTCCAGACTGGTCTTGAATCCTAGGCCAAAGTGGTCTTCCTGCCTTAACCTTCCAAAGTGCTGGGATTATAGGTGTGAGCTACCACATCCATCCAGGATAGTTTTAAATGTTCATAAATATAAATAATGCAATTATGGGTCAAACAGTTGTGATTATTTCATCTGGATTATTGCACACTTATTTCATTATTGCATTAGGCTAAACTGCTAAAATAATCTTAGATTTGCCCTAAAATTTGCATCTGAGTTAGAATATATGCTCTAATATATAAGATATGCACTTGGAAAGCCAATGCAAAGTAGCTAACCCCAGATCTTGCCTGATTGAGATCCAACTTGTTTGGGGAGGATAATGAGGTCTCAATGAACAGTGGCTGAAAAACCTTATCTGAGCACTTGGGAGGCTACAGAAATCCTCTCCAATAGAGTTGTTAGGACAGAGGAGAAATAGGCAGATAGCTACAGCCATATGAGGGAAGTGATTAGTGGGACAAGCTGACATTGACAGTTGTGAAATGAGGAACCCACAGAGTCTCCTGCATGACAAGGGGATGATTTGACTGGATTGTTGTTATGAAATTGGTTCTGGACTGGAAGACTGACAGTCTGGCAACTGTTTACCAGGTTATATTTTGGTACTGTTGGCTCAGAAAAAGCTCAGCATTTGACCGCACTGGTTAAGCCAATTCCAAAGGGGAGAAACAATATAAGAAAAGCAAAACATGTTTCCGAACTATCAGATCACTTTCTAGTATTTCATGTTAGATAATCATTATGAATTTGCCTTCTCTTCCAAAGAAAGTTATGACTGCCAAAGCATGTTGTCTAGAATTCATCATAAAATACTTAAAGTATAAAGTGAGATCATTTAATTAGAACAATAGCAACAACAATAATAATGCAGGATAAAATTATTTATTTCTGATGGTATTTTTGCTTTTAATTGTTATAACCAATTAAAATATGTTAGAAATAAAGATGCAGTTATGTCTTCCAAATGAATTTCTGAAGTAATTAAATCAGAATGAATGCAGAGGTAGCAAAATACCAGTACATTATACAGCCAGGGTTTTAGAAGTCAGCATTTGAAAATGATATTAACATATAAAATATTTAAATGGGCTATAAAATATTACTGAGCATAATTACTTATACATAAAATATCCCACAGTATGATATCACCTTGTTTTTGTTTATAATTATTACAAAATATTTTATCTATGAAAACTGCATTCACATTATGTAAATTTTTTTAAATTGATAGAGCAAGTTTTGATGTTTTTATACTCCTTCAGGATGTTTTACTCCTAAAGAAAACAAGCAACCTCTTATTTTGTGTTTGGCAATAATTTAATTCATATTCTTTAAATGAATTAAGTTGGGGAAGTACCATAAACCCTAGACCCATCTTTGCAATTCACAATGACACTTGCCTATTAAAAGATCTGCAAGGTTCTACAATAATTCCCATGTACCAAATGCCTATTAGACAGTACCAGACACTGCATTAGTTGATAATCACAACCTAAAAAGTTAACATTATCTTTCCTTTGCAGGAGAGGAAACAGATTGGTGAATTAATTTCCCAATTTTACCTCTATGTCCATACCTACATGTTAACAAGTTAGGGAGATCAAAAATTATAAGAGTCTAACATTAATGTCCATGTGCTCTCTGCAATGTTCTGTCATGCATAAAAACTACATAATTCATTATTTAGTATATATTTATATTCAGTGAGTAATTTGATTAAGAATTTCAAAATCAAATTCTGTAATAAAACCAGCCTTTATTTTTTTCTAAGAATAGAGACAAGTCCCCAAACTAGGATACATGCCTGGTCTATGTGTATGCATGACACCTAGTGCTTTGATTTTATTGACCTTTATTATTCTCTTTTGTAATTAATTTGCCTGTACACACATGGAATGTGTTTCCACAGCCAGGTGCATGTCGAGGGCCACTTGAAGTCTGGGATTTTATCTGGCTCATCAACATATTATCACAGCTAATTAATAAATGGCTGGAGTAGGGTATGCCTTTAACAGCATTGGTGGAAGACATGAATAAATTTTGACACTAAGGGCTGATTCAGCAAGTCACCTTGATTTTTACACAGATTAACACTGAAATAAAACACTTTTCACAGATAACATTAAAAATTTAATTACTACAGTGAACAGCAAGATAGACCTTTTAGGAGCAGCTCAGGATTGCAGATCCCAGTGGAAGCACAGAAGGTGAGTGGATGCTGCATTTCCAGACAGATCTTTATTGCCCAAAGACCTGGAGATTGCTAGGCGGAGAAGCCCTGCGGGTCACCAGAGCTGCTGTTTTGCTGGCGTGCCAGTGCGGCAGCTCTTCGTACAAAATACACTGGTCTGGTTGCCCTTTTAAGCTGGCCAGGAGATTCCCAGGCAGCACCTTTGTTTCAGCCAGCACAGTGGGTCTCTGCACGGGAAATCACACAGATCCCAGCACCCTTTCAGCAGGCGACTGGAACAACTAGGAGAGAGTCAACTGTTCAACTTAAAAAAAAAAAAAAAAGCTCTGAGGCAGGGACCTAGGTGATCAGGCTTGGTGGGTCCCAACCCCACAAAAACAAACAAACAAAAAAACAGCAGTTGGAAACGCTGGGGGTTGAGAGTTTCACGGCAAGCATAGCTGAACCCAGGACAGTGCAGCTTGGTGGGGGATGATCATCGCCCATTACCGAGGCACTCACCCTACGGAGGTAGTCCGCCATTGCTGAGGCATGCCATTGCCAAGGCAACCTGCCATAACAGAGAGAGTCTGCCATTCCAGAGGCAGACCACCATTGCCTAGGCAGTTCTAACCACACCCATATAAACAGGACTACAGGGGAGCTCAACGGCAGCAAGGTGGAGCTCAGCAAAGCCTCTGCAGGCAGACAGTGACTAGGCTGCCTCCTTGCTGGGCAGGGCAGCCATGGAAAAAATAAAAGGCAGCAGCACAATGGACGCTCATAAATAAAACCCTAACTCCCCAGGACAGAGGACCTGGGGAAAAAAAAGGCGGTTTATGAGTTCTGCTGCAGCAGACTTAAACGTACTGCCTAGCAGCTCTGAAAGAACAATGAAACTCACAGCTCAACACTTGAGATCCTATAAAGAACAGACTGTCTTCTCAAGCAGCTCCCTGACCCCCATATATCCAAAGAGTCACCTCACAAAAGACTGATCAGACTGACATTTGGCAGGCATCATTCTGGAACAAAGATAGCAGAAGAAGAAACTGGTAGCATCCCTTACTGTTCTGCAGCTACTGCAGGTGATCCACAGGCAAGCAGGGCCTGGAGTGGACCTCAGCAGTCCTACAGCAGAGGGGCCAGATGGTTAGAAGAAAAACTAAGAAACAGAAATTACTTCATCATCAACAACCTGAACATCCCCTCAGAGACCCAATATGAAAATCAGCAACTACACAGACGACAGGTGGATACATCCAAAAAGATGGGAAGAAACCAGCCAAAAAGAAGAAAAACACCCCAAACCAGAACACATCTCCTCCTACAAGGGATCACAACTCCTCACCAGCAAGGGAACAAAGCTGGATGGAGAATAAGTGTCATGAAATGACAGAATCAGAATTCAGAAGGTGGGTGATGAGAAACTTCCGTGAGCTAAAAGAACATGTTTTAACTCAATGCAAAGAAACTAAGAACCTTGAAAAAAGATTTGAGGAAATGATAACAAGAATGGACAACATAGAGAGGAATATGAGTGAATTCATGGAGCTGAAAAACACAACACAAGAACTCTGCGAAGCATGCACAAGTTTCAACAACTGAATTGACCAAGCAGAAGAAAGGATATAAGAAGTCGAAGATCAACTCAATGAAATAAAACAAGAAGGCAAGATCAGAGAAAAAAAGCACCAAAAGGAATGAACAAAGTCTCCAAGAAACATGGGTCTATGTGAAGAGACCTAATCTACATTTTATAGGTACACCTGAATGTGACGAAGAGAATAAATCCCAGCTGGAAAACACTCTTCAGGATATTATCCAGGAAAACTTCCCCAACCAAGCAAGGCAGGCCAATATTCAAGTCCAGGAAATACGAAGAACACCACAAAGATATGCCTCAAGAAGAGCAACCCCAAGGCACATAATCGTCAGATTCACCAGGGTTGAAATGAAGGAGAAAATGCTAAGGGCAGCCAGAGAGAAAGGTTGGGTTACCCACAAAGGGAAGCTTATCAGACTCACAGCAGATCTCTTGGCAGAAACCCTACAAGCCAGAAGAGAGTAGGGGGCCAATATTCAACATTCTTAAAGAAAAAACTTTCAGCCCAGAATTTCATATCCAGCCAAAATGAGCTTCATAAATGAAGGAAAAATAAAATCATTTGCGAACAAGAAAGTACTCAGAGATTTTGTCACCACCAGGCCTGCTTTACAAGAGCTCCTGAAAGAGGCACTACACATAGAAAGGAAAATCAGTACCAGCCATTCCAAAATCAAACCAAATGCTAAAAAGCATCAAGAAAATGAAGAATCTGCATCAAATAATGGGCAAAACAGCCAGCTAGCATCAAAATGGCAGGATCAAATTCACACATAACAATATTAACCCTAAATGTAAACGGGCTAAATGCGCCAATCAAAAAATACAGACTGGCAAATTGGATAAAAAGCCAAAACCCATCTGTGTGCTGTATCCAGAAAACCCATCTCACATGCAAGGATACACAAAGGCTTAAAATAAATGTATGGAGGAAGATTTACCAAGCAAATGGAGAGCAAAAAGAAGCAGGAGTTGCAATTCTCGTCTCTGATAAAATAGAATTTAAAGCAACAAAGATCAAAAGAGACAAAAAAGATCATTACATAATGGTAAAAAAATCGATACAACAAGAAGAGCTAACGATCCTAAATATATATGGACCTAATACAGGAGCACCAGTTACATAAAGCAAGTTCTTAATGACTTACAAAACGACTTATACTCCCACACAATAATAGTGGCAGACTTTAACACTCCACTGTCAATAATAGACAGATCAACCAGACAGAAAATCAACAAGGATATCCAGGGCTTGAACTCAGACCTGGACCAAGCAAACCTGATAGACATTTACACAACTCTCCTCCCTAAAAACACAGAATATACATTCTTCTCAGCACCACATCACACCTACTCTAAAATTGACCACATAATTGGAAGTAAAGCACTCCTCAGCAAATGCAAAAGAACTGCAGAAATTATAACAAACAGTCTCTCAGACCATAGTGCAATCAAGTTAGAACTCAGAATTCAGAAACTAACCCAGAACCGCACAGCTTCATGGAAAATGAACAACTGGCTCTTGAATGTTGACTGGATAAAAAATGAGATGAAGGCAGAAATAAAGAAGTTCTTCGAAACCAATGAAAATGAAGACACAACATACCAGAATCTCTGGGACACATTTAAAGCAGTCTCTAGAGGAAAATATATAGCAAAAAGTGCCCACATGAGAAGAGTGGAGAGATCCAAAATTGATATCCTAGTATCAAAATTAAAAGAGCTAGAGGAGCAAGATAAAAAACACTCAAAACCTAGCAGAAGACAAGAAATAACTAAGATCAGAGCAGAACTGAAGGAGATAGAGACACGAAAAACCCTTCAAACAACCGATAAATCCAGGAGCAGGTTTTTTGAAAAGATCAACATAATAGAGAGACCAGTAGCCAGATTAATAAAAAAAAAAAAAAAGACAAGAGAGAGAGAGAATAACCAAATAGATGCAATAAAAATGATAAAGGGGAAATCACCACAGATTCCACAGAAATTCAAACCATCATCAGAGAATATTATAAACAACTCTATGCATATAAACTAGTAAACCTGGAAGAAATGGATAAATTCCTGGACACTCGCATCCTCCCAAGCCTAAACCAGGAAGAAGTCGAAACTGTGAATAGACCAATAACAAGATCTGAAGTTGAGGCAGCAATTAAGAGCCTACCCCAATCCCCCCCAAAAAAAGCCCGGGTCCACATGGGTTCACAGCCGAATTCTACCAGACACACAAAGAGAAACTGGTAGCATACCTTCTGACACTATTCCAAATAATCAAAAAGAAGGAGTCCATCCCAAATCATTTTATGAGACCAACATCATTCTGACACCAAAACCCAGGAAAGACTCAACAAGAAAAGAAAACTTCAGGCCAATATCCATGATGAACAGAGACGCAAAAGTTTTCAATAAAATACTGGCAAGCCGATTGCAACAGCACATCAAAAAGCTTATCCACCATGATCAAGTAGGATTCATTTTGGGGATGCAAGGCTGGTTAACAATCACAAGTCTATAAACGTAATTCACCACATAAACAGAACCAAAAACAAAACCACATGATTATCTCAATTGATGCAGAGGAGGCCTCTGACAAAATTCAACAGCCCTTTATGCTAAAAACCCTCAATAAAATCGGCATTGACAGAATGTATCTCAAAATAATAAAAGCTATTTAGGAAAAACCAACAGCCATTATCATACTGAATGGGCAAAAACTTAAAGCATTCCCTTTGAAATCTGGCACTAGAAAAGGATGCCCTCTCTCACCACTCCTATTCAATATAGTACTGGAAGTTCTAGCCAGAGCAATCAGGCAAGAAAAAGAAATAAAGGATATTCAAATAGGAAAGGAGGAAGCCAAATTGTCTCTATTTGCAGACGACATGATAGTATACCTAGAAGACCCCATTGTCTCAGCCCAAAATCTCCTGAAACTAATAAGCAACTTCAGCAAAGTCCCAGAATACAAAATCAATGTGAAAAAATCACAAGCATTCCTATACACCAATAACAGACTCAAAGAAAGCCAAATCAAGAACGAATTGCCATTCACAATTGCTACAAAGAGAATAAAATACCTAGGAATACAACTAACAAGGAAAGTAAAGCACCTCCTCAAGGAGAACTACAAACCACTGCTCAACAAAATAGGAGAGGACACAAACATATGGAGAGACATTCCATGTTCATGGTTAGGAATAATCAATATTGTAAAAATGGCCATACTGCCCAAAGTAATTTACAGATTCAACGCTATCCCCATCAAGCTACCAATGACCTTCTTCACAGAACTGGAAAAAAACTACTTTAAAGTTCATATGGAACCAAAAGAGAGCCCGCATAGCCAAGTCAATTCTAAACAAAAAGAACACAGTGGGAGGCATCACACTACCGGACTTCAAACTATACTACAAGGCTACAGTAATCAAAACAGCATGGTACTGGTACCAAAACAGAGATATAGATCAATGGAACAGAACAGAGGCATTGGAGGCAACACAACATATATACAACCATACAATCTTTGATAAACCTGACAAAAACAAGCAATGGGGAAAGGATTTCCTGTTTAATAAATGTTGTTGGGAAAACTGGTTATCCATGTGCAGAAAGCAGAAACTGGACCCCTTCTTGACACCTTACATTAAAATTAACTCCAGATGGATTAAAGACTTAAACATAAGACCTAACACCATGAAAACCCTAGAAGAAAATCTAGGCAAAACCATTGAGGACATAGGAGTAGGCAAGAACTTCATGACCAAAACACCAAAAGCGTTGGCAGCAAAAGCCAAAATAGACAAATGGGACCTAATGAAACTCCACAGCTTCTACAGAGCAAAAGAAACAGTCATTAGAGTGAATCGGCAACCAACAGAATGGGAAAAAATTTTTGTAGTTTACCCATCTGACAAAGGGCTGATATCTAGAATTTGCAAAGAATTAAAGCAGATTTACAAGAAAAACACAAACAAGCCCATTCAAAAGTGGGCAAAGGATATGAACAGACACCTTACAAAAAAGACATACCTGAGTCGAACAAACATATGAAAAAATGCTCATCATCATGGGTCATTAGAGAAATGCAAATCAAAACTACATTGAGATACCATCTCACACCAATTAGAATGGCGATCATTAAAAAATCTGGAGACAACAGATGTTGGAGAGAATGTGGAGAAATAGGAACACTTCTACACTGCTGGTGGAACTGTAAATTAGTTCAACCATTGTGGAAGACAGTGTGGTGATTCCTCAAGAACCTAGAAATAAAAATTCCATTTGACCCAGCAATCCCATTACTGGGTATATATCCAAAGGATTATAGATTATTCTACTATAAGGACACATGCACACGAATGTTCATTGCAGCACTGTTTACAATAGCAAAGACCAGGAAGCAACCCAAATGCCCATCAATGATACACTGGACAGGGAAAATGTGGCACATATACACCATGGAATATTATGCAGCAATAAAAAATGATGAGTTTGTGTCCTTTGTAGGTACATGGATGAACCTAGAGAACATCATTCTCAGCAAACTGGCACAAGAACAGAAAATGAAATACCACATGTTCTCACTTATAGGCGGGTGTTGAACAATGGGAACACATGGACACAGGGAGGAAAGCACTACACTCTGGGGTCTGTTGGGGGGAAAAGGGGAGGGACGGCAAGGGGTGGGGAGTTGGGGAGAGATAGCATGGGGAGAAATGCCAGATATAGGTAAAGGGGAGGAAG